AATTCGGGCCTCCTACTCCCGGACGTTTTAGTAAGTGACGTGAATATTTTAGTGAAAATTTTCATTCTAAAAGCAGTTGAAATAAGGCACAGCTCTGATTCATTGATGAAACCCAATGATGACAATAACGACGATGATGATGAATCGATCTAAAACGTTGAATTTTTAAAAAATGCAAATAAAACATCCATTACTGCAATACCGCTGACCTGATGAGGCGACGGCTTTCTAGACACACTGAAGGAAGTGAGAAGTGAAACCTGAGCTGCATGTACTCACCGCTCTCCCTCCCCCTCCCCCATATTATCAAGATTCCGATATTGCAGGACAAAAAACGCCAGAAACAGACACGAAGACTCGCCGGCCTTGCCCTGCACATTCTGAGAGAGGCGCAACGGACAAAGGTTGGGTCAAATTATTTACAAGAAGATTGTTTTTTTTTTTTTTTCATTTTATATAAAACTAGTTAGCAAATGAGAGGGTTGTCGGCTGCATAAATGGAGATCTTCCAGACTACGCATTAAAAGCTGCTTCAGATACACCACGATATATATATATATATTAGTGACTAACTTTACTGACGAACTACTTTCTTTTCCACCGTTCCCATTTTACCAGAAGGCACTACCAACACAGCCTAGAAAACAAGTAGTACACAACCAGACATTTTTATTTCGCCGAAAATACTCGAAGACTCACTGTGAAAATCCACGAATACTAATGAAGCGCCCGACGAACTCAACTCATCCGCTCCAATTCCTTCCCGTCCCGCCGGCCGCCGACGCTGCCACATGACTCTCAGTTTTTAGTAGTTTCAAAAATCCCTGAACAACAATTCCGTACCCGAATCATAAATTTACCCTTATGTCTAAAGAACTTGAAACCGGTGCCCCGCCTACTTATACCCAACTTTTCTCCCCCCCCTCCCCTCCGCCGCGGCCCTAGAAGTCATTTCCATTTACCTTATATTTTCTGAGACCAATTTTAAAACACAAGTATGACGCATAGCTCAACCACGTTCAATCCTACGTTATACAGACACTTTTCCTCCTTCCTGGCCCTGCCACCCTTTGTCTCTATTCTCCAAAAAAACATGAGTTGCAGGCGATAAAACTGTACGCTGAATACATTAATCATTTAAGTGATATTTTGACGTTTCGGGCAATAAATTGAAAAAGGCCAAAAACTTCTATTCGAGCAGCTGTTGCAGCTACTCTACCATTAATTACTAGCCAGCAGTGGCTAGTCTAATTGGCTCTCAAAACACTCAATGGACAATGGGTTGGAGGGGACCAAAGGATGATGGTGGGAAGAATGAAGGATGGCGAATGGAAGCTGCTCAGCCGAGAAATGATGCTCGACGACATTCATTCCATGGACACATACAACCGCTAAAGTTGTTTCAGCCGTTCCCCAATTCCTTTGCTCAGACACGAATTATTCGTACGGTGAACAAAAGATGCTCCTGTCAATACTTTAAAAGATGCAAATTTGAAGAGACGCAAATCTTCATCTGTAATAGAATTTCACACCGACCAGGGTTGAAACTGCCCTC